GGCCTGACCAGTGCCGCATAGAGGGGGAGGATCACCTCTTTGGACCTGCTCGAGATGCATCTGTGGATGCATGACAAGGTGCGGTTGGCCTTCCTAACTGCCTCCCCACACTGCCGGCCCATGTTCATCTTGGAGTCAATGATGACTCCAAGATCCTTTTCCGCCTCCATGCTAACAAGAGGGGAGTTCCCTAACCTGTAGGTATGGTGCCTGTTGTTCCTCCCCAGGTGCATCACCTTGCGTGCAATTATTTTTACTAAGGCCTTATCTATGCAAGAAGGTCACATCAACTTAACTCAAGTCAGCCATTAAATCTATGTTGCTGGACCAGTATAATTTCTGTGTGGACATTTATTGTAAGAAAGACTTACTTCAACTTAACTTAAACCCGTCCTCAACTAATGTAAACTAAAACAAGAGGGTCCACAAAGTCTTTAGTACCAGCAATATTACTAAATCATTTTAGAATACACCTTATTTAAACCGATGCAACTCTCTCATGCGGAAAAACCCTAATAAGTAGATTAATTTAAAGAAACTGTATGGATATAATGTAGTACATGCACAGAATTTAAAAATTAATAAGAACTTCTCTTGATTTCTCATCTTCAAACTCTGATTCTCGCTGGGAACTTGAGCCTGCTGCAGTATAATACTTCACATTCCAAACAAACTCAGTGTAAATGTCTATATCACTTTATCAGAAAAATAAATGGAGCTACAATGATGGTATCTTAATAAGCACACATGAGTTTGCGTTTGCTTCAAAGGAGGAATGTTTTTCCGTTACCTTACTGTCAGTCTGATCACCAAGCTGGACTTTAAGAATATGAGGAGGCTTTATTCTTCCTGTAACGGCTGCCAAATATTCAACTAAAGAAGTTTTGCCACTTCCTATTGGTCCTTCCAACAACACAGGATTCTGGAAAGCTACTGCTATAGCAAGGGCTTGAAGATTTGTGCAGGTAGACTCAACCATCACAAACCGGTTAATGTTGCTTTCCTAATAGGACAGAAAATTTGAGTTATTACACTATTTATAACTTCAAGCATATATCAAGCAAAATCAAGGGCTGGGTGGACCACAAACTGGACATTCCACAATTTATAGTTAGCATTTAAATACAGATTCAGCCCATTTAAAATACTATCATAAAACACACACTTTATAAAAGCATATGTATTAACCAGTTTATTCTCAAAACTTGTCAGGCTGCAGCTGTCAAGGACAACAGAGAAACAGTTTTACTATTGTGCCAAGAAGGCAGTCTTAGTAATAATTTAATGCAGTGGTGCTCAAATTCTAGCCTAAAGACCAGATCTGACCTACAAGGCTTCCCAAAATCTGGAAATTTGGCATTAAGGGAGCAATAGGAATTAACACTGACATTGCTCCCCTGCCACCTAATTCCAAGCCCTCTGGCCAGATAACATTGTCTTGTGTGCCAGACGGGTTGGTGTGCAGGCAGTGGGCCTAACCTGGCACACACGGGGCTCAGGCACCAGGTCCAACATGTGGCCTGGGACCCAATCCAACATGTGGGACCAGGGCACAGTGTCAGATCAAACTGGTGTGCTGACCCTGCACCACTCATGTGGCTCGTAGCCCAGTGGGTCACCACTGATTTAACGTATATTTGCAGATTAAGTCATAAAAAAAGATCTCAGGTGCATGATGAATCCTTATCAAGATCATACAGCCATGGTAATCTGCTGACCTTTTAAATAGAAGTCCTGATTTTAAAGAGCCAAATCTATCCATATATGCATAGGCGGTATGTGAGGTCACTCAATTCAGCTGCATCTCAGAAGAGGAAGACATAAATCTGTGCAGAGTTTACTAAGCTCACAGTAGTGGATTTAAATTTCAAAAGGGTGATCATATGCTTTAATTGTGTAAGCTGGTAAAATAACACTAGAATCTGAAAGCTTTAGTTTATTATACAGAGCTTGCTATTTCCTGTTAGTAAGCAAAGGAAAAAGAGTTAAAATAGAATTTTTTTCACTGGAACCAAGCAAAAAGCACTCTACTTTGAACTTATATCAATTATCTATAAAAGCTATCAGGTGGTAAATCAGATTTACGTAGGTTGTAATTTAGGTGTCCACCTCGACCCTCATCACTTGAAAAAATGTTCAAAATTGATGCCACTGTATATTATGTCCTTTTCTGCTTTTTAAAATCTGAAAGATGAAACAATGGTGTTGAAGTTGGATACAGTCTAAAACTGAATTTAGACAAGGGGGGAAAGCAAAATGGATGCTGTGGGGAAAGATACTAGTTTGTGACTACTGGCTGAAGCTACAGGAAAGGACAAGAAAGAAAGTGTAGGAACTGCCATTTACTGGGTCAGACCATAAGTCCATCTTGCTCAATAGCCTGTGTCACAGTAGCAGAGAGCAGATGCTGAAAGGGAGAATTAAATTGGGTATGAACAGGGTTATTTTCCCCCCCACTATTCATCTCCCACTTCTAGCCTCCAGCATTTAAGGTCTAGGAGGTTCTGATTCAGAGACTATATCCCTAACTCCTATACTCAATAGTTACTGATGCCCCTTTCCTCCGACAATCTGTCTAATCCCTTTTTGAATCTGTCTAAACTGTCAGCTTCTACAACATCTGCTGACAATGAGTTCCATGCTGTGTGAAAAAGCACTTCCTTTTGTTAGTGTTAAACTTACTATCTACTAGTTTCATTTTGTGACATCTAGTTCTTGTCCTGTGAGAAACAGCCATTATTAAGTTCCTATTTACTTTCTCTTCACCATGTAGTATTTTGTAAATGCTGATCATATCCCCCCCCTCTAGCGGTGTGGAGAAACAAGGGGCGGGGCCACCAGCACTTTGCACTGCTTGCAGTACCGCTTCTATTTTCATCGGTGCTGCACGTCACTTTCACCGCCGTCGGCAGTTCTGGTTTTGCTGTCATGCGTGGTGTTGGCCCCCCTCCCATCCTCCAAATTGGCTGCTGGAGGACTGCCCTCCCCCTCTTCCCCCTGTTGACTGGCCACCAGGGGTACACCAACCAAAAAAGGTTGAAAACCCCTGGCCTAGCCACTTTAGTTTTTCCTCGTATGAAAGCCCCTCCCCATAGCAATAATCATCCTTGTTGCCCTTCGATGTACCTTTGCTAGTTGAGTAGATGGTTTTTCAAAAATACGGATAGTTTGTCAACTGTCATTCATATGACAGTTTACAGTAAGAAATAAGTTTAAAACATTGTTTCCTTAAATAATCTGAAAACATGCATGTTGAAGACATGCCTTAAGTGTTTCCCAGTAGTTTAAACATAGTAAAGTTCTCCTTATCCCTGGCCCTTAGCTGGTAAGGAGCAGTATAGTTTTCTTTTATTCAAAAAAGTACTCCCTGGCAGAGAGAAGCATTTTGATGCAAGTCAAAATGATTGTATCAGCGCTTGTCTATTTTATACAGCTGTTGCTACCATAGCTGCGCTGGTAGTGCCCCCAGTAGAGGCATGCTATATGGCAACAGAAGGGGGTTGTCTAATGGCTTCACAATACCATCTTCCTGAACAACAGCAGCTCTGCTACAGAAGCCCTCTTTTCTCTGTGTAGCTACATCCAGAAGGGAGGTCTTCTTAGCAGGTAGCTATGTTGACTAGGAGTTCTAAAAAAAAAAAACCATGGTACTATAACCCAGGGATCAGATCCCCTGCTAGTTCAGTCACAGAACCACAATCCCAATTTAGAAAGGTAGTGTTACACACAGAATTAAAACATCCATCACTGAAGAGTCTCTTGCAGGCAATTTTCAAGAATTGATGCATAAAAAAGAACAAGTAACTGTACTGACCCTTTCAGTGCTGAGTTCCTCTGAAGTGCCAACCTTCCACTTCACAAACTTTCAGTACATGGCACAAGGCAAAATAGAGTTTATATTATGCACTGCATATGTTCAGTATTATTTAAGCAATTAATGAAGATAAGTTAGTTCAGAGCATTTATCACATTTTAATAATATAAGCAAGAATCAAGCTCGTACATACCTGTTCTTTGGACACGAGTTGCAGCCTGGGTAACACAACTCCACATATCGCTACTACATTTGCAGAGAGATCACACGAGACAATCTCTCCTTGAGTGTACTGCAGCTCATTCTCTTTGTGCCAAAGGGTGGTCTCTGAATTTGCCAAAACAAGGGCTCTCTCCACATTCTGCATCTGTGATTCTTCCAGTAGCCTATCAAATTAACATCCACATTAACATTACAGCTGGAAGCCATAAACAAATATACTCAACCGTGGCAAAGTATTAAATGTGAAAGGTGTTCAGCTTACTTTAGCCTGAAATGTATCAACTCTTCCGGATTGAAGATCTTCTTAAGAAAAGATAATCTGTGCTCATCATTCATGCATGTAACCAAAGCAAGGCAATTTGAAGTGTACCTGAGAAGTATAGTTTGAATAGGTCAGAATCACAAATGAGAACACTGTTTTGAAAAATCTTCCACAACTTTTTACAGACATATTTGAGAGGAGATAAAAAATAGGATCCTCCAACAATGTGATGCCTCTCACGCTCAGCAAGAAAGAAGCTCATTTTTGGAACATAAATGATGTTGGCTATGAATTTTTTCCATCGGTTATCAAAATTTGTTATGCCAGAAACAAACAGTGGCAAAATACTGAAATATGCTGTTTCCTCTTTCATATTTTGGTGCTTTATTTGACTCAGTGAGTTTTCCAAGTGTTTCAATTTACAATAAAATAAAACAGTTCTCAAAAAAGGTGACTGATACAGTATAGTGAAACAGAGTATGACTCAAAAGGCAATAAATATTTCTATAAAGACAGTATATGAATCAGAAATTTATGCCCTGCTGTGCTGTCATGCGAGTCATAGCACTTCTTAAAAAAATGGAAGCTACCAATGATTTGAAATACATTGGTAAAACTACATGCAGTAGCCTCACTATCATTTCCATAAAAATAGTGACATGTTTCCAGTATCCCACAGTGCATTACTTAATGAAGAACTGACCTCCCTTTAAACCTTTCTCCACTCTGGTGCCTGGAAGTCACTTCTAGCTTCAAGTGCTCTCAAATGCCCACCAACGTAGGACCCATTTGTGAACCACAAAGACAGTGAGCCATCTAGCAACATTTCTGACCTCCATCAGGAACTAGATCTGATCAGGAAACACTAATTTCCTGGATCCAAAGGCTCTGTAGTTAATGGCACTAACAGAAGGACATGGTGCTTCTCAGCTGCTCCTAAGAAGCACAGCAATGGTAGCAGAAGGAAAAGGAAGTACAGTAAAATCTCTGCTGTCTGGCATGTAACTAACTGGAAATTCCAATAACCGGAATTTTTACCTTACCCCAGGGATGCCGGATAACAGAGATTTTACTGTATGTACATGTTAAAGATAATTCCTCTAAATCTCATGCATTCTTCATTTCCTGAGACTAATAGATTCAGGCAGTGTACCTTATTCTCAGGATCATAAGGGCAGCCCTAACAGTTCTTTAATCCGAACTCATTCTTTGCCTGGTACTTCTGAAAGATTCTCTCACCTTTCCCATTAAAAAATGTTAGAAAACTTTGAAATTTAAACTTACCAGCGGACCACAGTATCATGACTCCTTAGCAATGGAACACATGCACCCCAGTCCCACAGCTCCCGAAATACTGATGGCTGTTGGTGCAGGAATCTGTAGGCTGCCTCCATGAGATCCCGTAACTTCATTCGCCTGCGCCCATAGCGGACTGTGTTTGTATCTGAACTCTCCAGGAAGAGCCTTTGAAACACTGGGGCAGTATCCTTAAAATACCTTAAAGCAAATCTTAAAAAGAAACGAAGACGCTGGAGTCAGACAAAGTATTCAAGCTGTAGAAAAGAAACAATGTAGTCTACAAAAAAGTTTTAATTCATAGAGGTCCCAGCTGGCCACCACATCCCTCATAGTTTCATAGATTTAGATTAGGGTGGGAAGGGACCTAGTAGATCTTCTAGCCCGACCCCCCGCCAGGGCGGGAGAACAACAAAACCCCAAAACAAGAAACGGGACTCAAATGAGTCCAGCCAGGTAGGCATCCAGCCTCTTCTTAAAGACCCCCAGGGTAGGGGCCAGCACCACTTCCCTTGGAAGTTGGTTCCAGCTCCTAGCCGCCCTAACTGTGAAGTAGTTTTTGCGGATGTCCAATCTATACCTCCTCTCCATCAACTTGTGCCCATTACTCCTTGTTATGCCAGCGGGCGCTAGGGGAAACAGCGTCTCCCCCAAACCCTTCTGGTCCCCCCTAGTGAGTTTATAGACGGTCACCAGGTCCCCCCTCAGCCTTCTCTTGTGGAGGCTGAATAGGTTCAGGTCCCGCAGTCTCTCACTGTAGGGTCTGCCCTGTTGTCCCCGGATCATGCGGGTGGCCCTCCTCTGGACCCTCTCCATGTTGTCCACATCCCTCCTGAAATGGGGCGCACAGAACTGGACACAATACTCCAGCTGCGGCCTGACCAGCGTCGCATAGAGGGGGAGGATCACCTCCCTGGCTCTACTCATTGCTCTAGTTACTGCCATGGGTGGTGGTTGAGGTCACTGGGGCAGAATATTATGACAGAAGACCTACAGAGCTTTCTGCATGTGTGGTAGTGCCAACAGAAGGGCTTGGGCAGGGAGCCTGTGCTGCTCAAACAACAGTGGGGTGGGGGTGGGCTCATGCAGCTGGCTTAGCGGGGCAGGAGGAGAAACCACCTGAGTAGCAGTGACAGTGACAGCTAGCACTTTGCACTGCTTGCCCAGCAGGGGTCCTGGAGAGCCCACATTGCGCACAGTCCATGTGGTGCGTCACCTGGGGCCTGCATCCCATGTGGGGCGCAGCCACTCTGACATTGGACAGCCCCACTTCACAGGGAACAGCATATTTTGCAGTATATCTAAGTAATACGCTGCTTAACATTCACCGTTGCTGCTTTAGTGATGCTACAGGACACATCTTCAGCTGTTTAACAGCTGTTAGGAAATCTATCTTGCATGAATTTGCCTAGTTTGTTTTTAAACCTTGCTACCATATGCCTCTAAAACCAACTATAATAAAAAGTTCCACACATTAACCATGCACTGAGTAAAAAAAAAAAATAAAAAAAAAAAAATACTCTCTCTCATTAAGTTTAAATCTGTCTCCTGCTGTTTTCAGTAGGTGCATCCCTTTCACTAATATTCAAATAATCTAACGCTCAAGTCCAGACATGCCTACACTTGGGCAACAGCAACATTTTAGCAAGCAGCTGATATCAGGCAGTTTTGAAAATTTTGAGTAATTTTCATACAAGTCTACACCCCAGACGCCTGATATTTTCCTTTGTATTCCAACTGTTCAGTTGTAGATGAAGTTAGATGTTGCCATGCCATTCATTTAACTATTATTTTCTTTAAAGACTTAGATTCTCAAATCCATAGTTTCAATTCAAGACATACCTGTATAAAATAGTCTCTCCCGCCCATATCCAGAAAAACCATCTCCCAACCAGCCAGACAGCATACGTATATCACACAAATAAATATCACACCACTTACGGCAGTACATCGGGATGGACAACAATAAGTTTGCTCATGGCTACACAAAGTCTTTCATGCAGATCATGGTTGAACTGGCCGCCAGTTTTAATGGCTTCTGCATTTCGCTCCAGCAAATCTAGTAAGATTGGTCGAAATTGACGGCCAATCAGTAAAGTACATTCTTTGTCCAGTAATAGCTGTGCTAACATGTGGAGGAGACCCTGCCGATCCTGCTGAGTCCAGATCTGGGAGAGAGGGAAGAAAACAGGTTAAGAACATAATAAAGAAAAAAATAGTTCTTTGAATGTAGACAGCACTGTTTACTGAATGCTCTCAAAGCTCATGACAGAAACTGTATGTCACTAAACAGGTTCAATGTTTGTAAAAATGGAAAAGCTGAACACCAGAGAGGGTAAAGGACTTAGAAACAGTCATGGCAAGTCAGAACAAGCAACAAATCATAGTAGCAAGGGCACCTAATTCCACTGTTCTAACCACTACATTACCATCTCACTGACAGCTTCTTTCCTTCCTTTTTAGCTTTAAGCAGGAAAAATGCTGACACCTATTAAAAGGTTTTGTAGAACAGTGAGGCAGTCGAACAGATGGCCTAGGGAAGTTGTGGACTCTCCATCCCTGGAGGTATTTAAGAAGAGGTTAAATTAGCCGGGGATGATCTAGGTGTAGCCATACATATGTCCTACTATGGGCATTTCCCATACTTCTGGACTTTGCTCAGTGTCCCCACCCAACCCCTTTTCTGCTACATGTGTCAGAGTGTTTCTAAGCCTCCCCAGGTGCATTAGGTGTCGGCTACAGCCAAGGCTAGGGACTTCAACTAAGATGTGCTAATACTCATGTTGGGACCAAAGCCAGAAGTTCCTAACCAGACAGTCTTGCTAGAAAGACTGACCACTGTATTTGGAGTAAAGAAGGAATTTTACCCTCTGATCAGATTGATATGGACAGTGGTTGGGGGGGGGGGGGAAGAAGGTTGCCTTATTCTGCAGTGGGGGGCATGGCCCTCTACTTGGGACCTCTTGGGCATATATTGCCAACATTTCATAGAGAAAGAACATTGGCTGCTGTGGTTCTCCTCCTTTACCCGTGTGAGGTTAGGGTGTAAGGTCTGTGTTGTGTCAGGGTTGACAGTAGGCTTATGCAGAGTTTAGATTATGGTTTCAACAGGGATGAGATCCTGCCTCAGGCAGGGGGTTGGACTAGATGATCTATGAATCTGTGTGGCAATACTACTATAAACCCAGTTCACTAGATCAATACTCACCAGTTCACACCAGGAGTCAGTCATTTTCCTAAACCACATTTCAGTTATCTGTGTTGCCAATCAGTTCAAGAATCAACAAGGACAACAGATAAGCAGTTCTATGGTTACTAGTATTTCAGGGGACCCACTGTAGACAAGTCACTGACAAACTGGCATTAGTAAGGAGCCTACCACACCAGGCCTAAAGAAGCATTTGTAGGCAATTACTAAAAAAACAACTATTTGGATTACATGTTAGTGCAGAGATGGCCAACCTGTGGCACAAGGTAGAATAGGGAAGGGACAGGCAGCACAGCAGCAGGTAAGGCAGGGAATACAGAAAACAAAGCAGAAAGCAGAGCAATAACAGGGAAAGAGAACTTGATTGGCACTCAGGGAGGGCGCAGTGCTAATTTGTGGCAAGTCATCCAGAAAAGTTGGCCACAAACAAACCTTGAACCAGTTACGATCCAAACAAAGTTGTTTTCATATTTGACAGTGTTTTTATACTGCAGAACACTTTTCAAATGAGGAAATTAAAAAAAAAGTTTAAATTTTTTTTTCTACATCCAAACGACTGTTTAAAAGAAAATGCAAGGCAAAGAAGCATGCTTTAGCCAAGTGGGAGGGAGGCATCGTTTTTGGTATACCTGCCAAAAATAAGCCCTATACCCTTGACAATTGCTACTCTGATCTCTTTCCCATGCTTGATCCGCTGCTCTGCTTTCTGCTTCTGACCATGTGTTCCCTACATGATCTTGGCTCAGCTTTCTGCTTCCTTCCCTGTGCTCCCTAATCTATTTGCTGCTTTGCTTTCTATTTCCTGCCCTACGTGCTACCACGCTGCTCCACAATCTGCCACATGCCACACACACACAAGCTGCCCATGCAACCTGTGACACCCATGCTGCAGGTTGGCCACCCCAGCTTAGCATACAACTGGAGTGCTGGTAAAGACAACAAACAATAATGCCCAGATTCTATGGGTACGGACACGTGGTTTAAATGCAACTTGAAACACAGACAGGCATTAAACCAGTTTAAAACTGCCTGGAATGGTTCAAAAAGTGTAACTGGAAAGTTAGGTACTCTTTTGAACCGTTTCTATACTACATGTGGAAAACAAGCTTTCTATGACATTCAAGTTAGAACAAGGCTCTGGTTAGCCCTCCAGCCATCCCACATTACATCGCTCCTTCCCCCCCCACTGCTGCTACTGGCCACTCTTGCAGCCAAAACTTTACTGCCCCCCTTTTTCTCTCCCATGGGCTGGCAATTTTATCAGTAAACTCCCTTGCACTGTTTGGTCAATAAAATCTATTATCTTTTTACAACCAGCTGCGTTTTCACTCACTATTCAATTATGGTCTACCCAATCAGGATCACGGTACTCCCCCGCACATACCTGGGAACCAAAATGTGCAAGTCCAAACACTCCTTAAGTCAGGCAAACAGACTGCAAACTTTGGTCAACCACAAGCTACTGAATTTTACTGAACTCAAGGTCAGGAGAGAAGGGAAAGAAGAAAACCGAAAACACCCTTAGTCACAAGTTGCCCATCACCTGGAACCCCCAAAACATGACTTCCCGCTAGCCCTCTGTGAGGAACGCTGGGCTTGGGGCTCACTTCCACCCCATGTGTTAAGAGTCACAGCACTTCAATGCCTGAAAGATGAGGGCTTTCCCTGGAACACTACAGCATTGTACGTATGGACACCTGTGACCCCTGACTACTGTGAACCAGTTTCCAACATTTGGGAACAGTTTGACTGTTATGTCAATCCACACCCCATGTCAATACCAGCTGATTACATATTTAAAAAAAAATAAATCAGCCTTTTCTTGCACCTCTAAGAATCACTCTCTGTGATCTACAACTTAGTACTATTATCTCCTCACCAGAACACAGTTCTTACTAAAATTTTACCTCCCTTGACACACTAATCTTTCTATTTTTGTGTAGCTAAACACCTAAAACAGCATATGGAAGTTCATGTAACATAGCTGAAGTTGCCCAGATTGTCACATACCATTAATTTGTTTTTACAAAACATGACATGACATTTTCTTTTCTCTCAGCATTTGTAACAGAACCAAAAGACTTCCCTGATGCCGGTTAGGAGTCATTTTAAAAAGGGGTTTGAACGGATTATTTTTTAGTCAGGGAACAGGAGAGAGTCTGTGTACTTCAGAAAAAGACGACGGATTTCAAGGGACAACACTATTGTATTATTTTTAGTTGCTTTAATGATCAGAAAAGCTGCATAAAAGGCAATAATGCTCATAACAGTGAAGTATATAATTCATAATAAAGACTAAAAAGTAACAATGTATGTTTCCAATATTGCTGATTCAGGTCTGGGTTTGAGTTTTATTACATGTGGAAGATGACACTGAGGCTCAGGTCCTCTATTTATCCATTCATTCGAGTTGCAAGGCACAGGGAGCACCAATGCAAACTATCCTATACCATTTACATACCACATCACTGATTGGAGGGACCATCCTCAAGGGTAAAAGCGTTTTCTCTACAAGCCTCTTCAACTCTGGGATAGGACAGCTAAGAAGCGTGCTTATTCTGTTTTTGAATCAGTCCTTTAAATACCAGCTTGTGAGTCTTTATATATCAAAATCCATTCAACAAGCAATTTTATGACACCAATCAGTGTTTTAATTGCTCAACACAAGGAACATATAAACCTGAAAGAAAAGGACACCAACATGTGAGTGAGTGAGCGAGTGAGCGAGTGAATTCAGATGCGAAAATTTGTATGAAAAAGGTGGCCTAACCTGCTAGAAATCTGGACTGGTAAATCCTTCATGGCAATTGTACAAAGCTGCTTTAGGCAAGCATCATGAGGGACAGTCTCTCTTCCCCCAGGAAATCCACCTCACATTTAATTAGTAAAAGGGATGCCAAAAAGGAGCTCGTCTAGGATTGAGTCTTTAAGGCCACTTGAGGCAACAGGCTGCTGTGCACCAGCAGTGCTTCAAAGACACAGTCCCTCCTCTTTTCCAGATAGCACAGCTTGTTAAACCAAGTACAGCAAAACTTGGATGAAAACCATTTGGCTCCAGTGGAGCCATTAGAGAGCCAGAAGCATTTAGGAAAGAAAAAAAAAAAAAGATCAAAGTGCCAATGGCTGGAATAGCTTTTGGGCAAGCCAGAGGCCTAGGAAATGGGTCCCAGCTCTTTCTGCTAGGTTTGTAGTTGCACTTAGCCCAAAGGTTATGAGATGATAGCCAATATAAAGGTTGAGATGATAGCCAGTAAAGGCCCCCTGTGCTCAGAATATAGGGTCAATGTTATCTCTTTAATAAGATATTCTCTATAGCAACAAGTCAGAAAGTAAGTCTGGAACGCTGCTTCAAAATATCAGCTTTAGCCTGTTTCTGTGTAGAGTCACTATTGATGTATATCAGCTGTATGGCATCTGGATATTACAGAAAAAGGCCTATAAGCAGTAAATTGAAACTGAAACCTTGCCACCCGAGATAACCTGTTTTAACACAAGTTAATCCATCTAATTTAAGACAGCACACCTTGTTTTACATTCTAGCCTACAGGCTTCACAGATGGGGTGCCTTGTCTTAAGTTAACTGGTGATGCATTAACTTTAGTTAAAAACAAAACCATGAGCTATAGTCAAGGTTTACTCTTTGGGCTTAACTTTAAAGTGGATGAGATTAAGTTGAGGTTTAGCCAACACAAACTGGAATTCTGCACATAAGATTAAGAGAATAGGACACTGCTTCTACGCACGTTGGTTTTTAGAACTGGAGCCATGACTATGAAGTATAGCTGGGGCTGAGAGTATTCATATCGTAATGGAAGGACTGAAATTCTTGGACCAGCATAAAAAAAAAAGCAAAGTGAAAGCATTTGTCATAAATGTTTCACTGAAAGTCAGAGGTTTGAAGATAATCAGATACTATTGTAAGCGATGCTGACTAGCAATGCAATGATGTTATTCCCACCACCTGTCAGGCAACTCCAGGAAACTGAAGTCTTTGCATTCTGGGTACGATATGGCTGTAACGCTGAAATGGATGCACTAAACTGGACTTGAATCGACTTTTTTCCTAGTGAAGATACCGGGTAAACTCATTACACCTGCTTTTCAGATGGCTGCATTCTAATTTAGAAAACAACTCAGTCAGCTAAAAATAAGCTAAAAGTGCATCAGCATAAAGAAAAAGCTGAATTTATTTCAGGTTTGATTAGCACATATTATGTAAGCCTGACAGAAACTCAGCTACTTTCCTTTATAGGTTTGCCCTGTCTAGACAAAGGAGTGCATTCTACTGCATTGCACTGACAACTTCTGTATGGGAAAGAAACTATTTAAAATTAAGACAAAGAGGTAGAGTAACAGTCCTATCAAGAACAAGAGATTAAATGCCCACTTTTCTGCACCAGACAGAAGTGCAACAAATACCATTCCCTGGCTGTACATACCTCTGCTTAATTTAAACAAATCATAATTCAACCAAGGAAAGCAGTCTGCTTATCAGGAAAGGGGAGTAAATCAGGGAAAGACAGAGCACAAGTGCTCCAAGGGTAGATAAATACAGTCTTCATTAGAGGCTGGGATGACAGCCAAGTTGTGCTCCTAGTCCTTTCATGGAAGTTATTCTTTGTTCATTAGACATTTTTTGTTCACTGTATAGATGCATCTCACTGAACAACTTATATGCTAGACCCTAACTTGATCCCAAGATTCAACTGCAGGTTGGCAATGTCACTCTCAAAGAAAGAACATATACAAATACTTAAATCCTTTCTTTCCCTTTTTTTTTTTTTTTTTTTTTGAAAAATCCAGTCCATCTTGAGGGG